AGTTCTCTACAGGAAAAAAAACATAGTACCCGGTTGCAAAAAAACATAGTACCCGGTAAATTAGGTAGTTCTTGTTTGCAAATTGCAATTTTTTTCAACAAACAGGTATCGTTCAAAAATATATATTTCAGTCACAAAACTGTATTACACACAAAGGCATAGCGGAGCTTCGCAAAACTACTAAGAGACGAAAGTAGAATTTTTTTAAGCTGGAAGAATAACGTAAAAAAGGTTTAACAAAAACTACGACTACGAAAATTTCGTTTTCGTATTAGATGATGTTCATAACGTTCTTTAAAGCAGTGGAAATCGTTTGCAGAGCTGCTAATGAGGCAACAAAATTTTAAGTTGAACACAAAATTGTTTTCATAAGAACACTTTGATCTGTCAAGCCTTCAACCATCCGTAGTGAAACACCTGAACGCATAACAATAGATGTTATGACCCAAAGACAACGCAATATAACTTGACTACGCCAATTTAAAACCAGGCGAAGCCATTTAACTTGAAAAAAAATCAGACAAGGTAAATTTAGAAACTACAGATCTTTCAATTATCGTTAAAACTTTTGACATCAAAACAAAACCCATGCTACGAAAGTAACCCAATATCAAACCATACCAGATTATCAAAGCGGCATATAAAAATGAAAATTAACCGAACAAAAACACACTTCCGAAAAAAAATCATTATTTTTTCAAATTTATTGGATAACATAATAAAGGAGAAGCTGAGCTTCGCACCACTTGCGATACCAAATTGAATCACTGTGATTCAAAGCAACTGAAAAGAAAAATTAAAAAAACTCCAAACCTACAAGGTCCTGATTCGGAAAAACCTGCACCATTAAGAGCTATACGAGGAGCTTTCGGAATGCTAGAAAGAAGCCGAACTTTTGAAAAAGTACTTGCTGCGGGAACTAAGCAGGCAAAAATAAGCAGACAGACTAACATCTAAAAAAGTTCAGTTTGCAAAAGAAACAAGTCCCGACTAGAATCGAACTCCCGGGCCTTGTCTATATAGCATGGGTGTTACAGGAACTCGGAATAAAGCTGAACCTTCAAACAAAACTGGTCTGAGGGAAGTAAGCCGACAAATATAAAACTCTAGTTGGCAAAAAAAAACAGAACCCGTGCGGATTCGAACCCCAAGCGTTTGCCATCTCATGCAGGTGTGTTACTTCTACGCAACATGCGCCGCCTGCTTGATTGAATATGCATTTATAATAAAGCAAGAAGACGAAGGAGTCCAAGATCCAGGAGATTATTACTGCGAACAAAGTTCTTTGCGATAAAAAGTCTAGTACCCGATTGCATTACCCTTACTCATCGCAAAGGTAATTTCTGTCTGAAAAGAACTCCAGCAAATGACTACTTAACCTAAATGATGGTAGTTTGATTTAAATTTTCAGTAATTGAGCATGTCAGCAGTATTAACAATCCTACTAATATGACCATTCTGTTAACAAATAAACAGTTGGCTACGGGAAAAAAATAGGCCCGGTTGCAACACCCTAGCTAATCGCAAGGGTAAAAAGCTCAATGAGAAATAGGCTTCGAAAATTTAATTGATTCACCTAAAGTTGTTTTCTCGACTATCTGTCACAGAACATTCTGCGTTTCAAGTGCAATAAACGGCAATACTTTTTGTTCCAATCACCGAGGTTGGGAGCCCCAATTAACGGGCTAATAACTCTATTCAAAACTTTTTCATGCAACACACGTTGCAGGAAGTCGAGTGATTACTCATATACAAGCCCTTTCAGCTGTGACTTAGGCTGCAATTAAAAACTCTCGGTTCAGAGAAAAGCCGTGTGAACACTTTAGTTCTTCAAAACATTTCGTTCACAGGAGTCACTCTCCGTTCATAGAATGTCAACGGAAATTGATTTTACAGGAAGCTTAAACTAATTCCATCAGAAAGCTACATTCAACGACCTATAGTCTTCTTTACAACAAAATATTTGCGAAACCCATAAAAAGAACATTTGTAAAAGTTTTATTGTACTAGTAAGTGTGTGCTACTTTGGACATTAGCTGTTGTTTGTTGTATGGAATTGATGAAGCGCTCAATCCGATTTTTTGAAAAAAGTGAGAATACACCAGTTACGTTGTTGCACCGCATTAATATATAAGCCTGTCCGAGAAAGCTGAGGAGCCAGAATATAGTGGGTACATCTAACTTGCGGTTAAACTAACATTCAAGCACAATAGCTTTGACTAGAACAGTTTTCCTACAGAAAACTTGGCAAATAAATTACTTGAATTTTTGGGAGCTTTACTGGTCTGTAATTCTGACTTATCGTTCCAGACTTATGATTGTGCGTGTACGAAACATTCACACAATAACATGTTTCTTTGGAGGATTTATTATCGACAGGAAACCAAGTTACTTTTAAAGCAGTACCGGAGCCAGACTGTTAAGCCTTCTTTATTTCGCAGGGTTAAATTCCAGGAGCTTAACTCTCGACATCACTTTGCATTTCAAGCTTCTAACATAACAAAGAATTAGCAGGCAATGGTTTTCGAAGTGTCTAAAACGTTTTAGTTAACGTTATCATACGTCAAATATCAATTTGTCATTTCTTACGGCTTTTGCAACGAAACTTCGTGAGGGAATTTTCGCATCTTTTTCGGTCTTCATTAGATAACAAAATTTGAAAATTCTAGATAATCATTCGAACTACAAAAGTCACAATTGAGAAATGCTTTTTACAAACTCCCCGACTTCATTAAAATTGGGTAATGATACAAAAACAGTCATCAGACAGTTGGAAAAGTGTTACTGAAGAAACCGAAAAACGTGACAATATTTTTGATTCTCGATTTTCATAGATTAAATAACGTCACCCTCAAGCTCTTTCGAATTTCATTTATGTTTTTTTTTGATAAACTGAGTTATCGAAAAAACGATATCTGTTTTGAAACAAAACGTCAAGTTCAAAGTCTTTTTGGAGAGCGTAATCGGCCCTCAATTTAGTAACACGTCAATTTTAAAAACATCTGCAAATGCAAGTAATCTAATAATCATAATACAATGTTTCCAGGCTAGTAAACCAATAAGTAGTGATTTTATAAAACCGCAATTACAACCATTAAACATTAGCTTGAGAGATAGTCATGAGACATTCTGGTCCGATTTCAGATTTCTATGAGCGGAAAAATTTAACTGTTTGCCCAAATTAAACTCAATTGCCCAACTTTGGAATGCAAAAACCTCAAAAAGGTACAAGCTTTCTTAAGAAAAGAAGGGGTGTCAGGCGTGAAAAGAATGACCGTTAGAAAGACTTTCACATACTTTAGAGGATTTCAAGAGTACGCAAAATCCAGTCAATCTCTAATAATGCATACAAGCACCTTGGACAAACCCAAAACAAGCCCACGATTTTTTAAAAATAAACTTGCAACCAGATAAAATCCTGATATTAAACATTTAGATTAGGAAGAACGTAAAATTAATTGTACTCTTGCGACTAAGAGGAGAAAAAAAAGACAAAAAAGATTTGAAAAAAAATCGTCCTAAAATCGCAATTACACTTATTTTACAATACTTATGAAAACAATGGGCAAATTTTCGTGCGGCTTAACTTCGTGCACAATCACAAGACTACACCGGAAAAATTTCGTAATAGATTGTAGATAGTTTAAATAAACATAAAACCCGTGCTGTGACGTCTAAGCCGACAAAAACAAGACAAACGATAATCCGGTCATGATTTTGCAAGCAGAAAATTTTCAGTTCGCATGAAGGAAAAATCTTGGACAGATTCGAAAAACCGAAACTTTCAGCTCCATAGTCCTAAACATGTATGTTACCTCTAGACCAAATGTGGAAGAGACGCGGAATTGAAATTTATCAATATCACGTCGCCAAATGATTACCTGGTTCTATCAATTAAGTTGTTCGAAAAGACAGCTCGAAAAGAGTAATGAATGCAAGGAAACAAAAAAACTAACTTGTTTTTCAAACTTTAAGAAAAAACTGTATGCCCTTAAAATTTTTTAAATTTCAATAACACGTTATGATTGGTGCTTTTCACATAAAATTAACTCAATTTGAGAAAACTGGATTAAAAGTGAAATTTTTATTTCCGCTGGAAAATCTGAACATTGAAATCCACTTTCGAAACTAGACGTTGATCAAGTTCTTCGTAACCTTTACACTTTTGTTGTTCGATATGGGAGTGAGCCGTCCTCTTACATAGAGGCAAACAAAAGCGAGAACACGACAAAAATTAGTGAAAGTTCGGCTACGTCTCAGATTCGATCTACGACCTAGAGATTATAAGTCTCACGCACTAACCACACAGCCACGGACGCTTAACTAATCACAAACAGTAGCCTTAAATAAAGCAGATAACAAATGCTATGAAATTTCCAATGCTACAGATCGTGATATTAGCAAAAATGCCACCAAATAATGAACACTTTTCCACCAAACAATGAACACTTTTTTTGCGAGTTAGGTAAGTAAAAAATGGTTCGTACTTATACACTGACACTCGCAAGCTGGCTAGCTTAAGCAATGGAAATGAATTGAACTTAAAATTCAGAACTCGAACCTCGAAAAATGAAAAAGCGTGAGCAAACTTCAAGTGTTTCTCCTGAAAAAAGAAAACACATAAAATCACCAAGACCTATATAAAAGTATTCACTACGTTCATTAATCTTAAACACTCGAGCAGAATAAAACACATTCTTTTTGCTCATTAACGCTCAAAAAGTACGCTAAAACTTATTCTTTTCTATTTTAATTGAGTTTAATACAGTCCCGCTGACAAAAATTTGAATAAAACCCAGAAATGTCCAGTTAACATTCCATATGGATCCAATGGCACCTGTCTATTAACCAATTACTTTTTGACTTATATTGATTTTCAAAACACAAACGCTTTAACATTCAATTGGCCAATTTCTATCAATACCATTCATCATAAACACTTTAAGAGTCTGACTAATGATATTTCAAGAATTTGCAGCCAGTGAAAGTCCAGTGAACGTTTAAGCATCTTCTGTTACTTCCGTTTTCTTTCCCAATCGCCTTTTTGGGAATTCAACAAAACTGACGAATGTGTACATCGGCTCCTTTGCATCTTCATCCTCGTTAACTTTTCGGGCCATCTTTACTCGTACTTTGAAGGGAATGTGATTAACACCTTTGCTCCAGATTTCCTTGTTGAGATTGGTGTCAATTCGCACATCACTCGTCCCCATAAGTTTTTTGCTCAACTCCCTAATTGCTTTCACCGCCCTGGGGGCTCTCTTCAGAGCGGTGACATTGTACATCTTCCTATGAAGATTAACTGTGGTCTCAATGGTTTTTGGTACGTGCGATTCTCTTCCCATTTCTCAAAGAGCACAAGCCGGTTCTGAAAATTAAATCAAAGTACAGTCGTATAAGTCCAATCTTTCGTGTAGTGCTACCCCAAAAAGAACTCACGACAGCATTTAAAACTAACTTGAGGTTCCAACTTTTGAGTATTCCATGGTTTTTTATTTTATTTTCTTTTTTTTTTCGTAATTTTTTTAAAATATAATCAGAAGTATATAAGAAATTTAAAATGTTAATTCAAACCTTTTCGCACATTTTGTGCATCACCAGGATTAAAAACTTTTACAATATTTACAAAACGATCAAAGATCTGAAACAATGAGAAACATGTCTAAAGATGCTCTAAATTTTTTTTTGACCAATCAAACTTTTAGTTTTTTGTTCTATATATCATAGTTACCGAGGTTACAGTCAGAAGTCCCTTCATCACATTATCCAGCCAAATCCCTAAGAATTTTACAGATAAGGAAGATTTAAGTGTAATGTGGATACCAGTGAAGAGAGTCAGATGGTTCGAGATCAAGCCAATCAGATTGAGAAAACTAACACCAGCACAGAATAAACCCAGCACAGAATAAACTGGAGCTGAAAGTGACTCATGAGGATACAGATCTATCCTATACGGGGACCGATCGTTTAGCAGACCAATCTTTCAAAAAGTGAGTCTTTTAGCAGACCAACGTAACAAGGTGATGGTGAATTCCCATAGGTTCCAATATTCATAGGTTCCAAAATAAAAAATCAGTCGCATAAATCCAAAATTTATCTTCTTGAATTCTGATTGGTTGAAATTTGAGCCAACGAATTTATGGATTAATTGTTTACTGTTCAACCAGCATAAACTCAAGCTGCAGAATAGTGACCGCCGCAGCCGCGCCAACGTGTTGCGAGCTTGCCACCAAAGGGTAGGACTCTATATGAGACTCGGCCAATTAAGTCTTTTGACCAATTGAAAAGATTTGGAACTTATGCGACTGCTTTTTTATTTTGGAACCTATGGGACTGATTTTTTATTTTGGAACCTATGATGTGAAATTTTGATGTGAAAATTTTCAACCCCCATGCCAAAACATCGCGAAAACTGCATAAGGATGCATACAAATACCACGAAACGCTGAAGAACTCCAAATATCAGCAAAGAATTTTAAACGTAGAGCAGAGTAGCTTCTGCCCGCTAATTTTTGGATGCACCGGTGGCGCTGCTCCAACAGCCACGTGGACGATGCAGCTATTGCCCGAAAAACTAAGTGAAAAAAGACAAGAAAGCTATCCAGAATCTACAAACTACGTAAGAACTAAAATAAGCTTCGCGCTCCTGAGGAGCTCTATACTTTGTATAAGGGGGTGCAGATCGCTACGCAAAGTTCAATTTATCGACAACTCCATAAGCGCTATTGTAGAGGAAGGACGGCGATGCATTTAATGCTGATTTATGTTTCATTGCTGATATATATGCATTTTTATATCGCTGGTATGGCCCTATCCAGCTTGTGCACTTACCGTAACTAAACGGAAGGGCCCCTTTTGTAATTTAGATTTGGTTTTGGAACCTATGAATACGCACCCAAGGTGATGGATGATAGATTGACAGACTCAAAAAGACGCTCAGTCTGGGACGAAGGTTCCCCTAGTAAGAGTTATCTCACGACTTGCCAACAAAACTATCAATTTCAAAAAAACAAGTCTAAGATAGCGGCAAAACAAAGATTCACGCGCACAATAACACTCGTGTTGAACTGAAGCGCAGCAAAACAAGCAGTCACTAATCACCAATGCCGCGTTTAAATTTAGCTATCTTCTTTTATATTTTTTTCTGGGTCTGCTTAGAGATTGGATTGCTAAAATCCCTAGCACCATCCAATACTTATAAAAAAATGCACGAATCTTGTAGTCGTCGGTTAGTTTTTGATCACCTAAACTACAAACGTTTATATTAGATTCAATGTTTTTACTAGCAACTGTATTGTTTGAGCATAAAGTGGTGGTATTGCTTACTAGCGTCTGTATTGTTGAGCATAAAGGTAACCTTGATGTGTCCCGTCCTCCGACATATTGATAGAAATTCCAAAAAAGGTGAACTTCCAAACCCCGTTCGAAAACTGGTGGTTCAGCAAATTTTTTTATTAAACGTAAAAAAAATTGAGTAAAATCTAATTTCAGTACACCTGAGCACTTCGGTTTGTCATCATGCCAAAACGTTATCTGGTCGAATAAATTCAAACACCAAATTCAGACAAAAAATTCAAGCTCATGAAAATCACCGCAACCCTTTTAATGAGAGAAACTCTCCTTGACAGGGATTGCAATATATTGAATGATCAGATATTGAATATTGAGACGATGTCAATATTGAATTTTTAATATTGAGATATTGAAGGCTAGATATTGATATTGATATTGAATTTTTTGTAGATATTGAGAAAAACGGATTTGGTATCATTGCTTGAAACGTGACGTTTTTACACATACACATAAAACAAATGGTGATAAAAAGTTTCAACTCAACTCACTCAAGCATTAAAATTAAACAAATTAAACAAAAAACAATTACATTGCAAAAAAACTAAACAAATTTAATTATATATTTCGAAATTCAATATTGAATTTGGTCTCTGGTATCTTAAAATAGTGATAATATTGAGATATTGAGCTTTTAGATATTGATATTGATATTGATATTGAAATTTCATCCTATTTGATATTGATATTGATATTGAATGGAAGATATTGATATTGAGCTCAATATATTGATATTGTATTGAAATCCCTGCTCCTTGATGGTTTCCTTCTGCAACAAGACAATTGAAGTTTTCATGTTTCAAAAAAAAATTGGAACTTTTTGAGACGGGAATTGAGCGGGTACTTTGGCTTAGCAGGATCCCGGAACTCAAAATTATAGAAAACGTGTAGAGAATGTTGAATTCAAGGATTTATGATCAACCGCAACCAAAAAACAAACAAGAACTGGAAGAAAGAGTTTTTGAAGCCGTAGACCACATGAACTCGCATCTTTCCGAATATGTGAAAACTCTATACTCATCGTGGCATAGTCGTTTCTTATCATGTGTTACGAGACGTAGAAATAAAATTTCTAGCTGATTTTCTTTGAACATTTTTGAAGTTGCACTAAAAAATTTGGCACACTTTTGCGTTGAATTGATGAAACTACATGTATTAAGATGGTACGAAAAAATGTGACGCACAGCGTATCACCAACCTCTGAAATCGTTTCCAGCTTATGTAACATTCGCCCAAATACTACACAGCGATGGAGCGTAGGAAAAGTACCTATTAACGACTGGCAGGCGTCAGTTACCTTAATCCTAATCGCTTTTCACCGTCTCGACCTTGCCAGTTGATTTTCTGGTCTGTCTAGGGCAAAGTAAAAAGTTACCATTTTTAGGCCATCAGTCAAACGACTTTTGATCAGCTTTCGTTTACATGCGAACACAACCACATAGCTGAGTCTCGGATCCTCAGACTACGTGAGTGTCATTAAAAACACGGCTCAAACAACCTATTTTAACATGTTTTTGTGTGACAGTTCTATATTAAATCCATTGGAGATGGATTGACCCTTTCCTTTTTCTAGCTACTCATTTTCTGAAATATTAAACAATGACGGTGTTAATTAAGAGATCTATGACATCCAGGTAGCTATAAAGTTAGTTCTACACAGTCCCTTCACATAAACAGTCTCTGGGGGACCAAGCCTCCGCTCCCGTAATATTCCTGAGATAACGCTCTTATCTCCTCTGATTTTCGTCCCGGGAGGGTTCCGTGGTGTATTTCTTCCCCCACTGAAGCCTCCTTCTCCACCAATATCTGTTGAAAAGTGTCTTATCGTGCGTTGTTGCCACGATAAGAGGCTTTGTATTTTCCGTCTCTTATACGACTGTTTTTCACTATATCTGTCGTTGTTCTGATTTTCGTCACTTTTTCAGTCAAAATGGCCGTTTTTCGTATTTCTGAGAAATATTCTTCTTCCAATCAAAATTTTAAAAATAAAAATTCTAGAATATTCCGACCCTCCTTCGCAATGCTTTTTCGTCAATAAGGCCTTTAGTCGTTCTTTTTTACGTCGCCGGAAGGTTGTGCTGTGCCAGTCTGGCAGAATGGCACATACTCCCCGGACAGTCCCCATCAATGTCCCTATTGATCGCATAACACCGGGTTATCGTCAAGTAGTTATCCAGTTTTCTACCATCAATCTTACAAATCGCATAAGAAAATGAAATTTATCTACCCCACCTCAACTCACTACGTGTTCACAAATGGCATCGTACTACATCTCACTGCCTTTCAACATTTTCACAAAATTTGCACCATGAGGAGTGTTCTAGATAAAATTTCTTTTCTGACTACTTACGTCGTCTTGCCATAAAACTTCTTTTCGCTCTTTGTGATTAAAAAGTGGGACGTGGCACGGCCACGCACCCGTTAAAATTAACTTAACTTCACTCACCAAGTATAATCAGTTATTTATGCGGTCCTTTCAATATTAAAACTAAGAAACTCTGTGGCTAGGAAAGTTATTGAGTTACCCACCCTTCTCGAGCGAGTTTACTCAAACTTACCATGTCGCCACACAGTGAGTTTGTGTCTTACACAGGTTAAAAACTTCAGTCGTGAATAAATAGGTAAATATACTCACCTAGATTCCTCATATACATGCATAAATAGCCATAACTAAAATCAAAAATTTCAACAATTTTAACAATTGCAACAATTTTCAAAGTTTGGTCTAACCAAACTAGATCAAAACAAAAAGTTTAACAAGTTCAATAATCAAAACTTGGTTGATTGGCTTAAGTTTTAGCACACAAATACAATCAAGTTTTCTCTCCTTCTCTTCTCTTCTTTGGTCATCTTCATTCCATCACTTCTCCATGTTGATCTTCGCTGTCTTCCAACACTTTCACCAGCATGTCCATGGAGTTGCGGGCCGTGCCCCAACTCTCCTGTTCCAACAGCCTCGGCTTGCAGCAAGGTAGCAAGTCCACATTCACCTTCT